AATAGAATCGAATGGGACAGAATAGGGGAGGTCTATGTCCAACAATGGACGCAGAGGACTGCTTGATGATAATAATCATAATAACTTGATCTAATCTAAATTACGACAGATTCGTTTAATGATAATACGTCTTTAATTATTGACAATTCCTCGTTTTCAACGTTCTTATCATCTTCCTCTTCATTTTTTTGGAATCTGATATACTTTGACTGGTATCACTTTTGTACCCACTCTTTGGCTATTTACCCTAGGCCGGGGTAAATACCCGGATAAATACCCATTTTAGAAATACCTACCCGTCGGGTATTTACCCTACGCCCATTACTGCTTAGAACCAAACCTGTCGAAAGTAACGGGAGAACTGAGTAAAAATTGGTCGGAACTGAGACGAAAATTGAAAGTATACTACACATCTGCAGTTCAGATAACTGCACAGATTTTCACACAGTTATTTTCGACAGATAACTGCGCTGATAAATGGAAGGTGTGTACCCCCCTTTAGAAGCAATGTTAAGGCTCAATGTATAGTGGCTATAACGCCACTGAAACAAGAAAGAATGGTTTTGATATTTTAGTATATTTATTTTAATTATGACTGAAAAATTAATGACTAATTAAGAAAAACCTAAGATATAAAAAAATATTGTAATAAAAACATAATAATGATAAGAAAGATTATAAACAAACCATAAAATATCGTTTAATGGAAAAGTTTTAATCACGTTGTGTTCTAAATAAAGACCTCAATATCAATAACCGAAGCCAATAAAATTGAATTGATTTATGTTATGAGAAACTTATTAGAACCATCAAAGGTGATTAGTATTAAATTTCAATATTTGTTCGTCGATTACGAAAATGATTAATCTGGAAATAACTGGAAAATTGTCGCCATGCGGGTCAAAAACTTGACGATATAAAAGAATTACACTTGAGTTAACGTTATAAATAAACCTTCTTATCGCGGTTAAATAAGTTTTATCACCTGTCCTAACTACTTCAAAGAAAAAAAAAACAATACATAATAAAAAATTTGGATGATGTAAAAATCTTCAACAAATACTATTTTGGGTTTGAATATAAAAGGAGGTGTGGTTTTGAAATGTGATGTAACTGTAATTCTAAATTTAAATGCTAAATTTTGATTCGAATAGAAAGCGTCTTCGTTTCGCGGCGAGGAATTTTACTCATGTGAAAAACAAGTCTATTTTTAACGAGTGCATTTTCTATTTATAATTTAAATAGAGTAGGGTTACTCAATCGGTTTGGAGAGGAGGCGATTTTAAAATTTAAAAATTGTTTACCGGCTCAAGACGTTGTATGCGGTTGTGTTGCAATTTAAAACCTGCGATCCATAACAAGGTCGTTCCCAAACCGATTCCTTTAGCTATTTTTATAACGCTGTTTATAATTTACTGCGCACTTTATTTTTTTTCTTTTTTTAATTGCTAATGTAAAATGATAAAAACAAAGCAATACTTGAATAATATTAATTTCTTTAAAAGAAATTCCTATTTCTAAATTTAAGTTAGATTTCATTAGCTGAATCACACCTACAACTATTATTATAACACCATTGTGAATCACCATGTTATTTAAGATAACAACATGCATTTATAAGTGCATTAACTGAACCTAGATTACTAATAATAATAAACTTTAATATGTTTATAAACATGTTTAATTTAAGAATAATAAAGATCATAAAACAAAATATGTTTTATTTATTGATTTTGCATTAAATATGTGCAATTGTGGCAATTTTTAATCTGAAATTAACTTTAAAACTGTGCTTGGCCATGTAGTTTTATTTTTAGATGAATTTCCTACTATTATCTGAAAATTTACAGTTATGACACGTGGTTACAAAGCGTAACAACAACTTTGTCCGTGACTCAATACGAGTTCGAAATCAATTCTCAAAACAAATCAAATGTCAAGTTCGTATTTAAAACAAATCGTATTTTTAAAACAATTTTATTATTGTTTTCGAAGTTAAACATCACAGAACGAAATATATGAACAATTCAAGCGTTTAACACTTTTTTCTTCAATCATTCCGACTCATCAATGCCGGTTTTAATCGAACAGTGGACAAATTATAACACCGTAATTCCTGTTTCGTACCTTTCTATTGGGGATTTTCCATTTCACACAGAACTGGGCTGTGACCGAGTTTCAAAAGGATCAATGGGTATTCCCGTATTTCTACAATAATGTGCATTCCAATAAGCAATACAAGTTATTAATAAATATTTCAAAGATTAATTATTTTCTATTTCAATAGTACGCACAATATTTTTTGCTTTGTAATAGAACATACTATCCGTACTATCCTTGCCCTTCAAATTGAACGGTACTGTACTATGTATACAGTTAGACCCCAGCGGGCCCTTTGCACATCCCCACAATTTACAGTTCATTCAGGGGTCACAAAACCAGCCCAAGGTTTTAATGAATGTTAATATAGAACTAATCCACTCTATCCGAGTCAACATGCTTACCAGAAAGCAAAATCAATAATCACTGATCTCCATGTTTTGACTAGCACTTTAGAGAAGACAATTGCAATCAAAGAGATAGCCCTATGTGCTTTCATAGACATAGAGGGTGTTTTTGATAACACCTCCTACGAATCCATAGAGAATGCTCTAAACATAAAAGATATACATCCGTCGACAAACAAATGGTGCATAGCGAATGCTCTCACCTCTCCTATGGTGCCTGATACTTGATGACTTGATGAACACCCTAACAAAAAATGGATTCTTGATTCAAGGGTGTCCTGATGACCTGGTAATTACAGTCCGAGGTAAATATGAAACAATCATAACTCAACTAATGCAGAAAGCCTTAGTAAACAAACAAGGCTTTCAACAAACAAAATCGAAATAGTCCCTTTCACTCGGAGAAGGAAGCTACAATTGAGAGCAGCGTCCATTATAAGCAGAACTATTAACCTTAAAGAAGTTAAATACCTAGACAGTAAACTAAACTGGAATTCCCACATAGACAAGGTGAGGAAAAAGGCCATTACGGCTAACCAGATCTGCCGCAGGCCCCTCGGAAGGAACTGGGGTCTCAAACCACGAATGGCTCATTGGGCCTACGTAGCCATAATGAGACCCATCGTCGCCTATCCTCACTAGTTTGGTGGCCAAAAACAAATCATAAGACAGCACAAGAGCAGCTGGCAAATTCAGCTCTTGAAGCCGTTCTTGGTCTCACACCACTTCATTTATATATAATAATAATAATAATATTTCTCTTTTTATGTAAAAAAGTGCATGCACTTTTACACCTGTCAAAACACATATTACATAATATTATTTATAGTAATTAAAACTACAGAAACTCAAAATTTACATATCGTCAACATTACAATTTAAAAATTCTTGTGTGGAATAAAACACATTTTTTAACAGGAATATTTTTAACCAAGCATTAATTTCAGCGGAAGGTAACTCACGTAACCGTCGAGGTAATCTATTCAACAGTTTTTGGCCCATATACAAAGGACCACTCTAGGTTCTTGACAGTCTGAAAAAAGCTGGGCATAGATTTTCTCTCCTCCGTGTATTGTGAGAATGAATTTTAGAATGTTCTCTGACCAAATTACGGTTCTCCATAATGTACATAATACAACACAATATATATAGCGATGGTACAGTTAGAATAGACAGTCGGACAAAAGCAGCCCGGCAATCATCCTTGTAAGCTATATCTGCCAGAACACGCACAGCACCCCAGAATCAGCACCCCATGTAAGAATTGAATAGTTAAGTAATGAGTGATCAAATGCATAGTAAGCGTTTTTCGGCACACCTAGCGAAACACCAGCTAGGTAGCTAGGAAACACCATATTTTAGACTCCATACCAGTGATTCTCAACCTTTCTTTTGTTGCGGTACACTTTTATCGATTTCAAAATTTGGCGGCACACAAACAAAAAGAAAGTTTAAAAATTATTTACTTACCTATAACATACTGCGTAAAATAGTTTATGATGATAATTTTAAATGTGCGAAATAAAATAATATGTACTACAAAAATAACAGCACGTTTATTTAGGGATTAATTACAAGTTAATAATAAGAATACTTTTAATGCGAAATTTGAGCTTGACGTTTTTTGATAATTTCATTTATATTTTGTCGTAAAAATGACAATGCTACTCTCATATCGTCTTCTACATTTAACAATGTTGATCTTATTTTAGTTTTAATGTTGGTTAATGCTGAAAATCCGAATCACACAAATAAGATGTGGAAAATTGTACTAATATGTTTAAAGTTTTTTTGGCTATCATTGAATAATCGCATCTAATGTTAATCAAAAATGAATTAATTGATTCTTCTGAATGTTTTAAAATGAAATCTCGATTATTGGAAAGCAAAATAAGTTCTTCCTCTTCATTCAAAGTTAAGTCAAACACAGAAGTATCCATTATGAGAAATGGATTACGAACCCAATCAAATTTCTTCATATCTAGTTTTGGGCAATAATGAATAATTCTCTCCTCTAATGTTATCAAATGGTCAATAACAATTATTTTAATATTTTTATGGCAGTCTTTTGGTACTGACTCAAACTTTTCTAAACTGCCTTTCTGAGCTTTATTCTTCCATTCATTTCGTCTTTTAATTCCAGCACCCGTATGCAGTAACAAGGATTCGTACTTGGCTTCCATAGCTTGGCATAATTTACTAAATAAGCGATGGTTTTCAATGGTTTTGATTTTATATATTAATCATTTTCACACATTGTTCCAGAACTATTTTCAATTCTAATGGCAAATATTTTGTAACAAGTGCTTCTAGATGCAAAAACAATGGGTAACTAATATATCCCCATTCAGTTCTTTAACATGTGCTACAAATCCTTTTAGATGTCCAGTCATAGCTGGAACACCATCTGTACAAATGCCAATACATGACTTCCACGAAACTTGTGGAAGTCATTTGTTTGCCAGTTGTAAAATCAGATAACTTCCGACAACACTAAAATTGATTAATTATATCATTTTCGTGAATAAATCTAACGAATGCAATTAATTGAGGTTTTCCTGTAATATCTGTTTGTTTCATTGAATTTCCAACAGCTTTTGCAGTATTTTGCGACATATCTTTAATCCTGCGATGGATTGTGTCATTCGAAAGTGGTATTTTACAAATATCAATATCTGCTGATCCACCAATCATTATTTTTACAATTTTGCGACAAGCTGGTAATATAATTTCTTCAGCCAAATTGTGAGGTTTTAATTTAACAGCAATCAATTCTACTATTTTGTAGGAAGCTACTTGAGCCTTTTCAGACACACCGATTTGTTTTTCAAAAACTTTTACTTGCTTGGATTTTGAAGATAAAGACTTTTGAAAGTAGCTTTTACCTTTTATTGAAAGCGAAGGATGATTAGTCACCAAGTGACGTTGGAGCTTGCTCGGAACCATAGCACTATTTGATCATTTACAACCACATATCACACACTCGGGAACAACTTTGTCATTTTCCATTGTTGAGGTAAATCCAAATTTCAAAAAATCATGATTGTATTTCCGATGAACAACGCATTTTTTGGAGCAAGAAGTATCTTTACTTGTACCGGGCGTGGGCTCATTAACTTGGTCGCTAACGTTATCATTATCACTGTTATCATCGTTAAGCTTTCTTCTTTTTAACCATTTATCCATTTTCAGTTCAGTTCACTCGTATTAATGAAATAGGGGAACATGCGTTTAATTCTGGATACTGTCAGTAATAGCGTTGCTTTCGATTACAGAACCCATTTTGGTCGTTCTGTTACAGAACCTATCTGTTCCTGGACAAAACCAAAAAGGTTAAAAGAATTTTTCTTTTTAAAATATATTATTTAATATTAACATAATTATATTTCTAAAATTTGGCGGTACACTTTTAGAATTTCGCGGTACACAAAAGTACCGCGGCACAGTGGTTGAGAATCACTGCTCCATACAATTAAAATGATTGGCAAAGCGCAATGAAGGGGCGGTGATATATGTTCCTAAACATTTTACCACGTTAGGATTGCGAACCACAAGCCTACGCAAACCCAAGGAAAGTTGGACAGTTTTATCGTCATTCAGACACAGCTTATTAGCTACACACCAATCACGCGCCCTCGACAGCGCTTCTGTTGAAAGTTTCAATGTGTCATCGTAGTTAGATCCCCGAACCAACAGTGTGGCATCATCCGCATAAAGCAGGCACTTTAAGCCAGTTATGTCTTTACTTACATAATAGGGAAAATCGTTAAAATAAATAAGGAATAAAAGCTAGCCAAGTATCGAACCCTGTGGCACTCCCCTAGTTACACTCACAGAGCTAGATGTTAGTTCACCTGTTTTTACAATTTGGGATCTACGCAACAAATATGAGTGTAGCAAATTTATAGTTATATGATCCATATTATATTTAATTACTGCAAGAGAATACGATGAGAGACACAGTCGAAAGCGCGCGACATGTCCAGAAACAATGACACACAATAATCGCCACCCTCAAAAGCATTATGGCAGAAGTTAACAAACTCAACCACCGCATTCTCAGTACAACGCCCCCTACGAAATCCGAATTGGTCCCAAAAAATATATTTTGACCCTCCAGGTATTCTGCAATCCTATTATAAATAATCTTTTCATACACTTTCGAGAACACCGGCAGGATGCTTATGGGGCGGTCGTTTTTGATATCCTCTTTATTACCATTTTTGAAAACTGGAACCACTAATGCACTCTTTAGCAAGTCCAGAAATGTGCCATTTCCTTCAAAGACCAATTTATAGGTTTGGTTAATGGAGAGTCATATAGGTTGATAGGTCTCTTTATAAAGCTGACAGAGAATCCAAACCAATCCCTTGCAGGGCCATTCCTTAATGAGTTTATTGTATCACAAACCTCAACTTGTGTGACAGCATTTAGAGTCATTCTAAAGTTAGGCATAACCGGAATGTCACAGATGAAGAAATTGTTCAATTCATCTGCGTTCAGAAATACGTCATTAGTTCTGTTATTGCGATTAGTTGAATTGATCACAGTCCACATTGCACGTGATGTATTGTTTGAGTTTTCAATGTATGAGGTAGTAGCCTCGAGTTTTGCTTCCCATATCGATTATCGATATGTGGACCTAAGCCTGTTTCGCATATGTAACAGGTCCTCAGATTTATACTTATTGTACATTTCACAAATTAAAACATAAGTTGATACAACGGGAGGTAGCTTTAACTGCCACAAGTTATCACTGAAAACAGGTTCTTCACTCAAGTTGATGCAGAGTAACCTCAGAGGATACCTCAGGTCTAACTCACTTGATTGAAATTAAAACGCGGATCTGTTGTATTCTGTCGGATCTTACACCGACAGAATACAATTTCGACCAGCCGTATAAGGTCATATTTAAAATCAGGGATAATTGGACGAAGGGTGGGCCTCAACTAAAGAGAGGAGCCCTAGCCTGGAACACCGATGCTTCAAAGACAATTAGATCCGGAGTAAGCATGGGCATCAGTGGACCAAATAGCCACATTAAATTACCCCTCAGCTCGGACATAACCATTTTTCAAGCAGAAGTTCTTGCTATAAACTTCTGCACCGCTTTGAACCTACAAAAGGGACAGAAAGGTGCATCCATAAACATTTTCACAAACAGTCGGGCCGCCCTAAAGGCAATTCAGGCCTACACGTGTGACTCCGCACTGATCACACTCTGTGTGAGTTTCAAGTCAAGCTAGCCAGAGAGGCAGCGGAAAAGCCCTTCATTGGACCCCAACTAGGTTGTGGACTACAAAAAAGCCACCTAAAACAAATAATCAACAGTTGGGAGGCCTCAAAGGTAGCGTTACGCTGAAAAGAACTTCCAGGTCACAAACAAGCGAAGAGTATGATAACTCCGTCGCAAAACAAAGCCAAAGAGGTTTTATGCCTCAGCAAAGGGGATCTAAGGACGCTCTCAGACCATGCGTCTAAAATACCACCTCTTCCACATTGGAAGCTGGGGATCAAACTTGTCGACTTTGCAACGACGAATCAGAAACGATTCAGCCGTTTCTGAAACGACTGAACACATACTGTGTAATTGCGTCGCCAGATGCCTACCAAGACACAACATTTTCGGTAAAGCTCTTTTGACATCTGCCGATATAAAGGAACAAGACCTTGGGGCAATACTAAGGTTCATTGAGGACCTACATCTGCCCTAAACATTTGGAGGGCTAAAGTTACAATAGATCTTATAGGTTCTTATGGGTCGTGGCAACGAGAGGGGCCGCTCAACAACTTTTTTTTCTTAAATTTTATTATCTATTATATCAAAAAAGAATTTTTTTTTTTAAATATTTTATCTACAACTATTGAATTATCTATTTGTTATACATTTGATTTTTGACGGATAATGACACGCATTACTCATGACTGAATAATGAAGCCATTATTCCACAGTTCTGACACGGCCTACTAATCAAAAAATAAAATATTAACAGAAATGACAGCTTTCTTATATTGAGGTTATGTCTGAATTGTCTAATCTGTCTCAGAGAAGCGAATCAAATGACCAATGTTATCATAACGGATTGCTAGCAACGGCTCAGATACAGAAGTTTTCCTTGACGCCTCAACGCCATATGATGTCAATAAGCTGAGTGCTTAAGCATCTAACAGAAATAAAAAGATTGGCCAGTACCACTTTATAAGCCTTATTCGCGTTCTTTTCATCTAATTTATCCACCCCATCCATTCCTTTATTATAGCTTGTTACCATTTCGGGCTACTTTATGGCTTTATAAAACCTACTTTCTTCGCACCACCATGTACTGCTGGATACAGATTTTTCTTGAAAGTTGGTAGCCATGGTAACCACAATAACCACTCTGTTATATTTCCATTGAACAAGTAATACTTCATCACTTCCCATAAACCGCTATGTACCTCTGCATGATTTATTCCAAAACCTCGTATTGGGGAAAGGACATTTTTTTGTTGGATTTAGGCGTATTGTACCTTGTGGCTATGAGGTATTAGCCAACATGTTGCACATATTTTCTTCTCCTTCAGATAATAAAGTAAACCAACAGTGGTAAAATAATTATCAAAATAGATTTTATATCCTTCATTTTCTAAAATTCCAGCTTTATTTATTAGGTCTAAAACAACATTTCCTCCAAGTCCAAACTTATTTTCATTTTTTTCAGTACCTTTTCCTGTATATACGTCAAAGCTTACCATATATCCTTCACTTGTACACAGAGATAAATTTTAAATCCAAATCTCACAGGTTTACCTTTCATGTATTCAAACCGCAAAAAGTTTCATTTCTTCAATCCCAACTGTTTTGGAGAAATCCATTTTTTTCCTTTGACATCACTTTCAGCAAATGTCAATTTAAATTGGCGATTTTATAAAATATATATAAAATGAATCGTTCACCCTGGAACTTAAAATTTACTTACTCAGCCTCAGCTGTCGACAAACCCACAAAACGTTGCTTCTGTGAAAACCATGAAACAGGGTTCTTTCCATAAAATACAATATATCCATTAACACTTCTTCTGTCATATTTGTCTCCAGTCCAATCAGCATCTGTATATCCATTATATCCAATTAGTTCTTTTGATACTTTCGTGTATTTTATTCTTTTCTCTTTCATCTCTTTTAAGTATCTCAATATTCTTTCGGCTGCCTTCCATGATCCTTCACCAGGCTTATCAAGACATCTACTAAAGAATGATGTAGAAAACATAATGTCTAGCCTTGAAACTGTTGCCAGATTTGATGTATCTGGTTTTCCTGTTACTATAATGTCATCGACATATGTTAGTACAAATACATTAGAGACAAAAATCATGCTGCGACCTCACAAACTTGTTTTCTAACAATTTCTCGTTAAATGTATTATTCCAACATTTTGGAGACTCCTTTGATCCATAAAGAGACCGATTTGGCTTCAAAACAGTACCCTTCTTAGTTTTATAACGTAAGTTTTCCATTCAGGAAAACTGATGATACATCCAACTGTTGCAACTTCCAATTCTTTTGTACTGCATGTATAATTAATATTCTTATTGTTGCCATTCTTGTTACTGGAGCATACTGTATTGTTGACGATTCCTCTTTTAGTTGGAAACCTTTTGCTACAAGTATTATCTTGTGCGTTCCGTCCTGTTTAATTATGAATCAAGTATGAAGTATGAAAGGCAAATTAACTTTCCTTCCAAGTTTAAAGTTTTTCCAATGAATTAAACTCTTTCTTTATTGCTTCTTGCCATTCCTTTACTTTTACTGCCTCACTGTAGGATGCTGCTTCGCGTAATTTTTGTCGTAATAAGGTAGCATACATCTATGGATATGTTTTCTTCCAGTCCACCATGGTTTTTAATGTTTTCATTAAGTTTTTCAATAAATGATCTTAGTTTATACAAGATATTTTCAAAAATATT